GTGGACTTGTGACCATGGTGTGGAGATGAGCTGTGCAGGCCCAGCTGTGTGTGAAATCACCACTCACTCCCTTCATACTGATCACTACACAGATCACTACACAGATCACTATGTAGGCATAGGGACTGATCTCAGACACAGCCCTGCACTCCGGCCCTGGTTCTCCCGCCTCCAGTCACGTCTCATTGGACCAGCACCACTCCTCCTCCACCCCAGCAGTCACCACACCTGGTTATCAAGCAACCAGAACCTTTCAGTCGGACTGGGCTTTAGAGTGAACAGTCCTGGTTCCTCTCGGTTTGTGTGTTTTGAGGAAACGTAGCTTCTGCTGGCAGCTGCTGACTTGCTGGGAGTTAGAGAGCGTCTCCGTGGAGACGATGACTCCCGTTAGCAGCTGCACAGCTTCGTTAGGAAGCTACTCGCGTCCTGTGGCTTTGTATTCTGTGTTTTGAGGCACCAGTTTGTTTTAGTTCCTGTTCTGTGTGGATGCTGCTGTCAGAGTTTAGTTTGCTAGCTTCGTAACTCCGTGAGCCTTTGTTTGGTTCTGTTTTGGTTCTGTTTTGGTTCTTTGATTTGTAGCATCCTCCCTCTTTTGTGTTGTCACTGTCTTGTTCTGTTTGTTTACGTTACTGAGCAATAAACTGCGTTACCTTAACCACTTCCATCCGGGTTCTAGTTCCATCCAGCGGGCCCTGGAGGCCGGACCGTAACGCTGTGGTGTCGTTGCAGGAGCAGCCCATCGTCCTGAACAGGAAGAAGAAGTTTGGTGTGTCCAGAGACTTTAACTGCGACTTTGAGTTTGGGGAGAAGGACGGTGCGAGCGCTGACCAGGACTGGCTGATGGCCGACGTCATGAAGCAGCTCAAGAACAAGGTAGAACCTCCTAGGACCTGCTAGAACCCCTCTTCTGCTGCACTACTGGGTTCTCAAAGAACATTGTGTTATTCTGCAGCAGTTCGCTAACGTTCCGTGTGTGTTCTGTTGCAGAGAACCATCACAACTCTGGACCAGAAGATCGATAAAGTCAGGAAGAAGAGGAAAGCCGAGGAGAAGTCCTCCCAGAGCGACGCAGCTGAAGGTTCCTCAGAGAAGAACCAGGAGAACCAAGACGAAGACGAAGATGTGAAGCCTGAAGCAGGAGAGGATGATGATGGAAGTGATGAAGAGGAGGATGAAGATGAGGAATTTGGCTCGAGCGATGAGGAGGTTCTGACCCAATCAGGTGGGTCCAGCAGAACATTTGCAGTGACTGAAGTGTGATTTAAGAACCTGCTGATTTGTAGAGTCGATGAGCTGAAGGTGGGTTTTGTTCCTGTTTCCTGCCAGACACCCTCAGAGAGAAGCAGCGCCGGGGGAGGAGGAGGAAGGAGGAGGAGGAGGAGGTGAGGAGGAGGAGGAGGAGCAGCTGATGTCACAAGTTCCTCTACCTGGTTGCTGTGGTAACAGCTGTGTTTGTGTTCAGGCTCCAGAGTCGTTCTACGAAGACGCGTCTCAGTACGACGATCAGCTGACCTTTGACGACATGAACCTGTCCAGACCCATCCTGAAGGTAAAAGCAGGTACTGGTACCAGGTGATCTGGTTCAGATCAACCATGGCTCCAACACCGGTCCAGAATCCAAACCTGAACCAGCAGTTTGGTTCTGCAGCTGGTTCTATGTGTGGAAGTCAGACCAGCTGTGGTTCCAGCAGCACCAGAGGCTGAACCTTGAACCCGGTTTAACAAATCCAGACTTTAACTGGACCGGACAAAACCTGAACACAGTCAGAGGTATCAGGTACCAGCAGGTCTTCATCAGCGTTCTTAGTGAACCGGGTTTTCTTCTCCAGACTCTCATTAAAGGAGGCGTTTAACTCGTCATGTGACTCTCCTGCAGTGAACGGACCAATCAGGTTCCTCCTGCTCCAGCCAGCAGCTTGTTCTAATGAGAACAATGAGGAACATCAAGAACTGTGACTTTAAAGAGCTGCTGCTGGAGATGATGCAGGACAGGAAGCTGCTGGAGACCTGCTCATCATGTGGTCACTA